ATATATATATATATATATGCACTGTTTGGTTTTAGGCAAATAAAAAATGATATAATAAATTCAGAAATAGAAGTTCTCCATAACTGTTATGAGTAAAACTGTTTTGATCTTAAATTATTTGAATACATATAAATTCACTTGAAGGTCTAATAACCTTCTTTTTCATTATCTGGAAGAGCTGTAAATATTGCCTTAGAAGCCTGCAAAATTCAAAAGTAAGACTACAAGTAGTGGGTGCCTTTTTTCCTTTGATTTCTCCAGGGTTAATGTGGAAAATCAAGTGCTGAAATCTGGATATACTAGTCGTGACCTAATTATTTTAGAAAATGATGATCCCGGGGGAGTTTTTCAATTTTCTCCTGCTTCCAGAGGACCCTATGTTATAAAAGTAAGTATGAAAGAAACTTCAATTTATTCTGTACTCACAACTTCAGAAGAATGATCTTGAAGGATTTGAACTTTTGTGAATTTTTTTCTAAAGGAAGGAGAATCTGTAGAGCTTCACATCATCCGATCCAGGGGGGCTCTTGTTAAGCAGTTTCTACACTACCGAGTAGAGCCAAGAGATAGCAATGAATTTTACGGAAACACGGGAGTACTGGAATTTAAACCTGGAGAAAGGGAGATAGTGATCACCTTGCTAGCAAGATTGGATGGGATACCAGAGGTATGGGATTTTTATTTTTCTTGTGGTTTTTTTTTGAAGGTTGATAGTATCTGGCGTACTAAGAATATAAATATTTTGAACATTGGCAAGGAGACATAGAAAAGGAGTGGGCAAGAAAGGATTGATAAGTACATAGGTTTGGAAAATTAAAAAAAAAAGCTTAAAAAATACTCATTTAAATTACAATGGTGTATTTTTTCCTATGTAAGGCAATAGCATACAATCTGAGACTTTTAGTGTGTGATCAGTTTTCATCTCCTTTTAGCTTTATTTATGTTAAGCCTAATTTTACATAACCTGTGTTGACTGAACTTTTAATGATGTGGTTTTGAACTGAAGAAGTTTTGCTAAGAAATTATTTTTGTAAAGGAAATAAATTGAAGTTCTATATTAATGAAGCCAGGTATAGTTCCATTGTGTTTATTCACTAATACATATGTTGGTTTCAAATTAATTTTATTTTATTTACTCTTGTAAGTTTAAATGACCAGATAGATCATCAATGCAATGATAACATACAGTCTTCTTGCCATTTTAGAGTAGTGTCATTGTTTATCGTTTCCTTGTTGGATAATGTATACATATATCTGGTATCTCTCTTAATTGTTAGAAGAACTTTAAAATTTTTTTTAGGAATAATATCAGCTCTTTTGTACTTTCAATGAGTTTCATGTTTCAGAAAAATTGAATATATTAATATTCTTGAATATTTACAGTTTTATTTGCCATGAAAATGTCAACTTTACATTTTTCCTAATTTCACATGTTCATTTTAGTTGGATGAACACTATTGGGTGGTCCTCAGCAGCCATGGTGAACGGGAAAGCAAGTTGGGAAGTGTTACAGTTGTCAACATAACAATTCTAAAAAATGATGATCCTCATGGGATTATAGAATTTGTTTCTGATGATCTAATTCTGGTGATAAATGAAAGCAAAGGAGATGATATCTATAGTGGTAATTTATTCTGTTTCTTATATTGTATTTCTGTTTATTGAAGAAGAAATATTACCATTTTTTAGTTTATTTCTGTAGTTACTAGTTATTTTCAGCTGTCCATTATTCCTTAGAAATTACATATAGTGCAGAGATTTGTCTCTTTAAAAATCATATTTAGTATCACTATTTTTATTTCTTACATAGTATTGTGATGATACTGGTGACTTCATTTCAATTTTGATTTCAATTAACCATATGCAGTGCAACTCAAACACTTAAGAATGAGTCAAGTCAAATAGGGAAAATTTTAAAACTAAGAATTACTGCTAGGGAAGTACTGCAGTGGCAGGAGAGAAGAAATATTTTATTTTTAGAGCAGTGTCTGTCTGGGTCAGAAAATCACTCGAGTATGCAGCTTCCTTTAACTGCCTTTTGCAGATATCCTTGTAGGACTTTATGACAGGTGTATCTAATTAATCATCATCTGTTTCCTATGCTGAATGACTTTTAAAATCCCAAACTGTGATTGAGTCCATTTATTTTATTAATTGTATACCTACAGAGGGAGGAACAGGCTAATATATTTTGATATGTACCTTGGAGGCTGTGCTAAGTAAATAGTTGTTCTTATTAAAAACCGGTGTTATTTTCACATTTGTTTATTTGAGCAATTTCTTTACTCATTGTTTTAAAGTTGTTTAGTATATATTCATATGTATTATACACATTTGTATTTCACAGCTGTTTATGGTGTAATAAGAAATCGCGGCAACTTTGGTGATGTTAGTGTATCATGGGTGGTTAGTCCAGACTTTACACAAGATGTATTTCCTGTGCAAGGGACTATTTTCTTTGGAGATCAGGAATTTTCAAAAAATATCACCATTTACTCCCTTCCAGATGAGGTAAATGTTGCATATGTAACTGCTTTGCTTGTTGTAGTTGATCAATAATTTTTTTATTAAATAATTAAACATTGGTAATATATTTTGTAATGAAAGTATGTGATAAAGAACTCAAGTATAATGTCTGACTCTAAGCCAAGAGAGCAGCATTATTTTGGGGTTCCCCTGAAGGCATGTTGAACTAGAACTGACAGGGGTCAGTGACTCTGCTCATGTGTCAGATATCAGGGATTCTCAGTTGTGGGAGAGGTGAGCCCTTGGCTCGTACTTAGGCCCTTTGAAGGCAGGGCCTTCTACCGGGTGTTCTGTGGTGCACTTTTAGAATCAGGACACTCGACCACGTGGCTCATGTATCCAACACGGTGTTTCTTCTTATTGACAGTAAAGAGAAAGGACTGAGTAACAGTGGGGAGTGAACCTTCCTGAGGGGAGCTGCAGTTAGAACAGCTGCGGCGGCCTGTCCTTTTCCATCAGACCCATCCCTTCAGAGACAAAATTCCAACACCTTTTTATTTTAGGGGGTGGAGAGCACCAGTTAGCACGGATGATGTGAAAGAGAAACAGTGTCCACCTGGGGATCTATTTAGGCTCAGAGAAATGGGGAATCTCATCTTGGTAGGACACGGAGTAAGGTCTTTATGACCTCAGGTGAAACTTCAGTATGGTTTGTAAGAGGCCTTTGAGAGCTAGCTGAGCTTTAGTTACTATTTATGATCTCTGTTCTAAATGTGTCTAGAAGTTATTTTTCTGTTCCATTTTTAATAAACATTTCCTATTTTCTCACAGAAATAATATGGGCTATGTGGTATATCTATTTTTAGTTTATATAAGGCAAAATATCCCTAATTCCATTAAATTATATAGTTAGTCAAAATGTAGTGGCTCTTTGGATGAATGCACATTAAAATAATTTTGGGAGGGGTCTGAGTCTCACCCGAATACTTTAGGGAGGTTCTGCCTACTTTTAGGGAGGTTCCTCAGAAATGGAAATGAATATTAGTATTATTAATAGAGCTTTTTAAAAAAAGAAACAATAATTTAGGACTACATAATATAATTATATGTATAAATTACCCGACTCAAACGTGTAACATTCTCCGAAAGATTCCAGAGGAAATGGAAGAATTTACCATTATCTTACTTAATGCCACTGGAGGAGCAGAAGTGGGAAACAAAACAACTGCAATTCTGAGGATTAGAAGAAACGATGACCCCATTTATTTTGCAGGTGGTATTGCTATCTTATTTTAGTGAGTTTCCATCTTTCTTAAACAGTGCGTATATATTTTAATAATATTCTTAACTGAACATTTACAACAAAGCACCACTGATGCTTGTTTTAATATGATTTCATGATTCGTTCGGTGACTATTATTCAATCTGTCTAAAGTTTTAACAAATAATTTTAAAGATCTTCTGAAGCAGAAAGAAAGGAAAATAAGTAGTATTTTGTTAGCTTTATTTCCTCCTTTCAAATTCTGAGATATTTTCTTTCCTTTGTGCAGAAAGAACACTCCTCCATGTGATTTCTTCCAATGCACGTCTAGCCAGCTCAGGGAGGGCCTGGTTATTGTACCTAATGGACAGCTAGTTATTATAATAACTAATATCTAATGGAAATATTAATTAAACTTTCTGCATTTTTGCCACCTTTCTGCATTCTTTAGAACTGTCTTTTGCCACCTGAGGCGTCTTTTAGTTTTATTTATGAGACTTAATAGATTTCTAATTCTTTCTTGAATCCTTTTTGTGAACTTTATATTGGGATCAATTTATTAATACCTATGCAGGAATATTTTAAACCTCTTGAATTTTATTGATTTGTATTGGTAACCTTCAGTTAATATGTAGTTAATAAATTAATCTTATGCTCAACTTTCTGCTAAATGCTCTGGCAAAAATAAAACATGAGATATCTAGTCCTGTTCTCAAGGAACTTATGGCCTCAACTTGGACCTGAAATATATGAAACAGTAGATAGAGGATTTCAAATATGTAATTTACTGACAAATTAGATGTCAAAGATAATGGATCCTGTAGGAATTAAGGCAAGAGGAAGGCCATTAACTGTTGAAGTAATTAGGGGGGGCTCATGTCAAAGTTGGGAACGGAGCTGATTCTTTAAACAAAGACACAGTAGAGAGCATTTCTTGTGGAGGGCAGGGAGAAACAATGTGATCTGAAAATATGTGAATGGAATCAGAAAAGCTCACGTTTCTTCTTTATGGATATTTCAGAACCTCGAGTAGTGACAGTTCAAGAGGGTGAGACTGCTAACTTTACAGTTCTCAGAAATGGATCTGTTGATGTTACCTGCACCGTCCAATATGCTACCTTGGATGGGAAGGCTACTGCAAGAGACGGAGACTTTGTTCCTGTTGAAAAAGGAGAAACACTTGTTTTTGAGGTTGGAAGTAGAGAGAAGAGCGTATCTGTATTTGTTATTGAAGATGGTATCCCAGAAACAGATGAGCCCTTTTATATAATTCTCTTTAATTCAACAGGTAAATACACATACTGTTATGGCAGATTTGTCATTTCAGTTCTCTATAAAGATGATATTAAGCACTACTGTCCAATGGGGTGAAAAGTAATGCTTAACTGTATTCTGTGACTGTTCAGGAACAAAATTGTTTGTTTCACTGCTCTCTTGAGCAATGCAGTGAAAAGAATATATGTGTCGAAACTTCATGTACGTGATATACTCTAAGGCATTATTTTTAACCTTTTCTTCACAATATGGCACAAATAGAAAATTCTGATATCATATAAGGAAGAGAAATCTTAAACTAAAAATAACAGGCCTTGGGAATATGACTTCCTTAGGCCTTGCTTAGTCACACAATGACTTAAGGGGTCAGCATTCTGTGCATCAGTTCAGCAGTAAATAACTTCTATGCACCAGTTACTGAGCATCTGTTTTTCTAGGGCATGAATTTGTGTAAGAATCATTTGTCCAAGTAGCTTACAGTAAAACTGCATGTGTGTGTGTCTGTGTGAGTGTACCAGTATGATGTGATCATTGTTATGACGGGTTGACAAAGTGCTCAGTGCTGTGGGAGCACAGTGGAGAGGCACTTGGCTTAACCTAGGGATTCAAGGAAGAATTCCTGGAAGAGTTGTTGCCCGAGTTGGATTCTTGGGAGTGAGGAGAGTTAGTCAGGTGAGTGAAAATGGGAAGGACTTTTGTTCCCATAGGGAACAGCTGGAGTAAAGACGAAGCGATAGGGACCTCAGGGCAATGATGAAAAGAGACCTAATGTGTAGCTGGTCATGGTGCTGACATGCTGTGGTAAGAATTGGAGTAAGAAATAGAAGAGAGGAATCAAGTTCAACACCGTGGAGACTGCCTAGTTTTGTGTACGAACAGATCGAACTTTGCTGCCTGAAGGTAGAGATCTAAAGGGAAAGATTGAGCCAGTGATTCCAATGAACATGGACAGTAGTATTTTTATGTTATGGAATAATCTTTCACTATTTTTATGAATCAAAAGATTCTACTTCAAAAATTTGATTTTAGAGAAACTGTGTTTTTGATTTCTAATTATGCTTTTGAAACAATATTCCTATTGTGAAGAAGTGTCTTTTTTTGCTTTTCAATAAAAGAGTTCCTCCTTAACATTTTCTCAAAAGACAAAATGGGAACTATTTCACATTGAACTTAGTCATCTCTCTCTGTCTTTCTCTTTATGTGTGCATATATATGTACAAATGAGTGTGTATATACCTATATAATACAGATATATATAAACATCTTTGGATAATTGGAGCAGTAGTTTGCATTTATCATATGACCTTCAGTGAGAAAATTCTTGCTGAAAATTTGGACCTAATTGTAAACTTTCTTAATTAAAAATATAAATTTAATAGTAAGTTAACTACTTTTTGTTATTTTGACATTTCCATTTTTAATTTAGGTGATACAGTGGTATATCAACATGGAGTAGCTACTGTGAT